GGAAGGTGTTGCCAAAGATGTGTCCTTCAGGTTTGCCTTTCTGCTTTGAATTCTCGTCAATCCCTCTATTTTTTTTTTTTTTTTAAAGTCTGGTTTGGCGTTATAGTTGTGCTTTGGAGAATTCAGGGAGAGATTCTGCTATATGGTTTAGCACTTTGAGGCCTGGACAGTTAGAAGAGTAAGGATGGTAGGTTACTCAAGTTTAAATCTCCAGGGGCTAGCATGCAGTAGTTGTTCTATAAATATTTGCTAAGTTGAATTCAATTTAGAAAAAAAAAAATCTCTGAATAATGTTTATCCAAGGGCATTGTTTTGCTCATGCATGTGCTGAACCTGTTGGCCTTCTGTTTGGGCAGAATGTAAATCGGACTCTCTTATTTCTCTCCCAACAGATTTAGTAGTTACAGTATCTAAAAGCACTGCTCTCACTTTAACTAAAAATATCTTAAGAAAACTTTCTTATAACTCAGTAGAGCTCCAACTATGGTCTAGCACCTACCAGCACTTGTTTAAAACATCTGATATTTGAGAACGGCAGGCCAATGGACATGTTAACTAGTCAATGATCTGAGACACACACACCAAGTTCTATAATATGCAATGAGAACATCACAACGCTAAGTACTGGGACCACAGTCTTACAGCTTCTATCGCAAGGGGCCTTCTCAGATTAGAATTAGCATCCACAGGCTATATGGAGCAGTAGGAACTTAGTCTTTTGAAATGTAGTAAAGTTGTTTTCAACTATGTAACTCACCATTCTTAATATAAGGGTTCATATGAAAAAATCATGTGTGAGTTATTTCATAAAAAATAATTGTCTCTGTAGGTGATTATAAAATTTCCTTTCCAAAAAATGGAAACTATATAACCTAAGCTTCCATTTCCACTACATCTCTCAAAGTCCTCAAGGCCTAAATGAGTTCTCCAGTTTTATTCACTGGCTTCCTCCAGCCATCTGGTAACCTTTACTTTCTGTTTTATCCTACCATGTCTTACTTTGTATAGTTTCATCTGTAAACAACCTGAAATCCTTCTGGAAACAAGCAAGGTATAAATCCTAAACACATAAATGCCTAATTCTCTCAGAGAACAAAAAACCCACTAAGCAACAAGACTAGCAGAAGGACACTTTATATTCAATTATCTTCTCAAAATGGGCAGTTGGGTAATAATTTACAAGAGAAAGGTCAATGGCAAGAGTGAAGATTAGGTTAGGTAGTCCCTTATACATGATGGAATAACTCTTCGCCAGCAAAGTATTAATCTATCTTCTTCAATCAATAAAAGGAACTCTGCAGGCATCTACACAATATAATTCGGCCTTTCGTAACTCCAACGCATAAATGCTCCTTACTGGAATGATAATCAGCAGTAGCGCTGGTATATCTTAGTTACATCCTTTTCCGCAAGACAGTTAGTCTGATTTGCCAAGAGAGCAAGGGTCACGAATAAATTCAGATGGTGTCAACACCATCCCAGCAGTCTCAGTTCAAAGAATAGAGAAAGCTGACGCTGCATTGCAGCATTCAGCAGCTACTGCATTAACTCCCTGCATGGACCCATGAGGCTGAACAGGTCTCCACAGATAATCAGAAAGGAAATATAGATGTCAGACAGGTTGTCTTACACATACATAGCAAAATCACAGTGCGAAAACCAAAGCTGATGTCATAATACAAATCTCGGGGAAGGTGTTAATCAAACAGGTAGGAATGTGTTACATAAATCCGTTACCATAGTTGATACTTGAGGCTGTAACATCCATCATTAGCTGCGATCAGCTTTATTGCTGCATAAATTAGCCAGCACTACAAAGAAGCATAAAAAGCAATCCGTTCTATTGTGTACTCCCGTTAGTTACACCCCGTTTGTTTCTCTTATCTGCTTTGGAAATGAATACCTCCTGCGTGCAGGGAATGATTCCAGAAATATAGTCCTTGCTCCTATTCTCCAGCTGTCTTTGTTAGCAGGTTGCCTAATTCTCTGGGTCATGCCCTGATCTACGGGGAACTGGGAGACTGTATCTGCCTTTCTTCAATGATCTAAAGCCTCAATTCTCTACTGTATTCGGTCACAGCCAGAAACCCAAAATCACGGTCCTGTAAGCCAAAGGTTGATGTTGTTTTTGAATTTACCCCTAACCATCTAATCGATACCTCTATCCAAATCTGGTTCCTGAAGCATATGATTTATGGTTACGATTTGCAGCCGGTTCTTAGCAAACGAGGCTTAATGATGGTCCCTTTGTTGTTCTAACCAGGTAAAATTCGATCCCGTCTATGTTCCAGGGCATCCTACTCTCACCTGCTATTTCTGCTACATTCCTGAGAGAGCTGTGACCTAGAAAGACCCCACTGAGGGGGTAAGCGAGAGGCCTCTGTAGTATAAAACTAGAAAGGCTGGATTATTATGTAACAAAAATTACTAGACATTTGTAACCTAAAATGGATTTCTTAGGCAACTAAATGTTGTCTCAGTTTAAGTGCTTTATGAAGACCAGCTCTTCTCAGACACCCTAAAGCACGTCATCCACCATCAACTGTAGACAGCAGCAGAGGTTATCTGGGGGTAAGGAACAACACAGGCCTCCTGTAAGTATAATCAGATTCTGCCACAGCCTTCAGCTCAGAATCTCCTAATGCTATTAGGCTGCGTTAATTAAGAATCACTGGGGAAAATCCTTTTCTAAATCAGTGAAAAGGCTGAATTCTAACGTATTTTAAACAAAAGTACAGTGTGATTATTTTTTAAATCACACAGTAACTGAGACAAGGTTAACAACATGGGTCTAAGAACTCCATTGATCTTTAATCAATAAATAAGCATTATTTGTAACTACCACAGTCATTTTTTTAATGTAAATGGATGCTTTGGAATTGCCTGAAGGAGTCTGACTAATACTGTAATTTGTCCTCTTCAATTGCTTAAACATTTCCCCAATCTTCTTATTTTCAGCGCCATCAGGAAATTTCTGAACAATGGCATAGAAACAAACTTCAAACCCCACCCAGGCATCATTTTCCAAAAGTTGTAATTAGAAGATGTGACTTAATGAGTTTTTTATTATACTGTTACTTTAGGGAAATAAAACCACAAGCATGTATCTTAAACAAATGAACTTCAGTTTTAACACTGACATGACAAACGTAAGAAGTGTTTAACTTTGTCCTTCAAAAGGTCAAACTAGGCCTGGGGACTGCTATGTCACTGAATCCTAAGGATGTAGTTAATGCAATAAAACACTGCAATAGAGCAAACTGATCTGACTGGCACGTATTACATCATTTAGACTGATGAAGACTTAGAGCAAGTTGATGAAAATAAGGTAGAAAATAACCTTTATATTAGTACAATTTGAGCTCTTATTAATTTTTATAGGACTAATGAATTATAAGGGGAAAAGAAAAATGAAACTCTTAAGCTGTCTAAGGAAGACAGACTACCAAGAGCTGCAAGGCTTGAATTCTGTCTCTTCCAACCTTCTAGCTCTGTGTTCCTGGATGAACCGCTTCTTATCGCTAAGCCTCATTTTCCTCTTCTGTAAAACAAGGATAAATAACACTTTTCTTGATGTTAGGAAAAAATGAGATAAAATGCTTAGCCTGGCCATCTGCCACTCAGTCAGTACTTCAAAAATGATACTGCTCTTATGCTACCGTAACCACTGCTGCTAGTGTTTTGTTGCTGCCAAGCCAATTCCAACTCACGGCGATGCCATGTGTGTGGAGTAGAACCGCTCCACACGGTTTTCAAGACTGTGACCTTTCAGAAGCAGACAGCCAGGCCTGTCTTCCAAGGCACCTCTGGGTGGGTTCGAACCATCAACCTTCTGGCTAGTAGTCAAGCACTTAACCACTCGTGCCACTCAGGCTGCTGCTACGTGTACTAGTACTGTACTCTATTTGATCGAGTCTCATTTCTCTTCTAACAAGTGAGGTTTAAGCAAAAATTAATACTTTGAATACAATGTTCAAAAATGCTACTGTTCTGCTGCTATTGACGATGATGAAATGTCAGGCACTTTTTCTGTTAGAATGATCTCTTTTAATTCTCACAGTGACCCAATGAGAGCAGAGTGATCTTATTTTATTTTGATTATTATTATTATTTCCAATTATAATGAAAAAACTGATGGACACAGGCTAAAGGTTGGAACAAAATTTGAACCCAGGGAGTCTGAATCCCAAGTCCACACTTTTAGCCACTACTCTCCACCCTGCTTCCTACTTCATTTCTACCTCTGACAAAGATATTTCTGATGACTTCGCCTACACTAGAACCAGTTTTTATGTTCAGAGCAGTATCACGGTTTGGATGTCCAACGTGCTGTCCAGTGGTACACATGATACCGTAACTCCTTTATGAATACGAGCTTGCTCAGGTTACAGAACACTATTACCCGTTATGAAGGGTTGTAGTAGATGGACAATAAAGGCAAAGAGGGTCTCTATTATTTGGTTGTTGACGTTTGGGCCTCACCCAGATATCCTAGCACATTTCCATCAGTAAGGTCAAGATCCTGATCTCGAGGGCCATTAGTACCACCTGACCTATTTCTAACAGGCTTAGAAATTTCAACTTGGGTAACAGCTTGTAGCTACCAGCCATGATGACTTGAATCACATCTTCTAATATTCTATATACTTATATATTTATCACCCCTTCGCCTTATGAGCTTGGTTTACTTTTTCTGTTAGGAGATAGGCACACCTGTACAAGCAAACAAACAAAAAAAAAAAAAGCACTCGTATAAATAGAAAATCATAGCTTTTACCTCTTCCTTATGTTAGGAAGGCGCCCTGGTGGCACGCTGGTTAAGAGCTCGGCTGCTAACCAAAAGGTTGGCAGTTCAAATCCACCAGCCGCTCCTTGAAAACCCTATGGGGCAGTTCTATTCTGTCTTACAGGGTCGCTATGAGTCGGAATTGAGTCGATGTTAGGGGAGTTACAAATCAGTTCAAATGTCTTAAAGGCAGTTTATATTGCAGTGCTCTTACCCTTGCGGTGAAATCCACAGCCGCCGCTCGGTTTAACAGCAACGTGGCTACATTGATATTTCCATAGTGAGCAGCTATGTGGAGTGGAGTGAAGCCACTCTGTAAAGAAAACACAGCAGACGTTCAATTGATTCCTGCTAGACCCTTGTCTGAGAGGTTAATATCATAGCCCTGCCCAATTAAAAATGAGGAAGCAAAATATGCTGAGGTCCACGTTCCATTCTGTACTGGTTTTCAATCAGTGCCAATTGTTCACAGGGTTTCTAAGTAACCCCAAAGTGACAGGCAGAGGAATAGCCAGGGAGAAACCAAGGGCAGAGATAGGGCAATTTTAGTAATCCAGCGGCAGAACTATATAGAAGCCAATGTTTTGAAAGAATTAAAATAGGGATGACAAGAAAAATCTTTATAGATCAAAGAAAGCTTTATTAGTACAACTGTTTTTATCTTAATTTTTTATTGATGACAGAATTGTCCACTGAAACTCTTTGTCAAAATTCACTTGGTTTTATATATTCAACATAGTTTCAAATTAATCAGTAGTAAAGGTCATTTTTAATGATAAAAGTAATTTTTTTTGGAAGAGGTACTACCACAAAATTGGTCTTGCCCAATGGGCAACTGCATTCCATAAAGAATCCACAAGTGGGTCTCTTTATTAGCAAATGCCTATTCAATAACACATTTTCCTGGTTTATGCATACCAAGGTCATTTTACTTCCTTAAAAATGCTAAAACATGCAGCGAATCACTTAGTCCCCAAAGACTGAAACTTTATAGGAACTAGATGCGTTTCTAAATTGTTAGCAAGCCTCTTAGCCATGCTAGCTACTTTACTGACAATATTACTGAAGGGTGGGTCATACTGGTACCATTCTGAGACAACTTTCCTTTTGCTGACACCACTGAGGGTAAGTGTCATGCAGAGCCCTAAAGAATCGGTCCTGGATGAGTAGAATGACAGGGTTGTCTGCAGCTTTAGGTAGAGTTGATAAGCATCTATGTCTCAAAGCTCTTCATCTCACACAACTCTACTGCAATACTCTTAAGTTTTGAGGATTTCTCATCCTTCCTTTTCAACACCAGGTCAGCTGCAGAAAGCCCTGGCAATCAAACTACTATCTTCTCTGGCACATGCTACTTTGGGGGCAGGGGTATAAAGCAGGGATCTAGCCTACAGAAGGCGATGCAAAAAAGAGGGGAAAGAAATGAAGCAGCAGCGCTAAGTAATGGGAATGTGATGATGCAGATACAGATTATATGTATATATGTATATATACCTCTGTTGTTCTATTCACCACCATCTAGGTTAACACATTTGGAAGCAAAGAGGAGGAAAAAATGAACGGTTAGTTCACTATCGATGATATGGATTGCAGAAAGCTCACGGCAGCTAAGTAATGAGGGTGCAAGCTAGGATGGAAGCACCACAGGCACAGAAAGAAAGCTAGACTGGATGAAGGGCTACACGATGGCCTATCCCAAATGTCACGTTTCCTTAAAAGAGACTTTCAAGTAATACACGTCAAGACAATGGGAATGTAGGGCTGTGACCGTCTCGCTGCCAGCATGCTTTCCACAGCTGATCAACACAAGGGGTGCTGCCTGTCATCTTAGCTATCAACCAAAGGTTTCTTTGTGTACATCTTCTTTAGTATTTTGTATTACTTTCACCCTAATGTTTGAGCAGAAGTGTTTGAGCAGAAAGTGTTAAATGCTTAAAAAAAAAAAAAAAAATGCAATAAAGGAAGGAAACCGTCAGGTGCCTCTAAATCAATTTCTTTTGAGGTGGCCTCCCTTTAGCATGCACAGGGCAATAGCACCTACGGTCCCTCCTAGCTTTTCATGCTAAGCAGATGTGCCTTCGATAGGTTAATTTGGACGGGCATTTGTATTGCTTTCAATGAAGTTGAGTGTTTGGCATAAGCTTGCCAAAAGGGACACCGGCATTCTTAAAGGTTGGGTGTCTACCATAACACAGTTGTGTGAAAGCCTGTTTCCCTGATGCCTCACCTTCGACTCCACGTCTGCGTTGTTGTCATTCTGCAGCAGCAGGGCGGCCGCTTTCGTATCATCTTTTCGGGCAGCGATATGCAGAGCTGGGAGGCGCACTTTTCCTTTCGTGTCGTTTTCTAGCAAGAGTGAAACTACTTGATCGTGACCTTGTTGCAAAGCTACTGCCAATGGTGTGAAGCCATCCTGCAAAGAAAGGGATGGGTCAAGATTGGTCCCTTAGGTATTTTCTATTTTTATTCAGTTAACAAATAAGAAGGCAACCGAGTGTGAATTTTTATTTCGGGTTATTAAAGCTAGTGCATTGCAGTGGATATACACTGCAAAAGGCATCTTCAAAATACGTATTGCCAAAGCAAAAAACAGTAAGAAATCTGTAACATTTGTGGGTATTTTCCCTATCAGAAGAACTTTTAATAAGATGTTTTTAGTAGAGAATTGGCAAGTAAGTCACCTATGATTTTATTTGGGTCATAATATTTTATTTCTGCAGTTGCTGTAGTACAAAATAGAAGACCACTCCCAAGGAAGAGCATTTGTAAGGGAAAAGGAGAAACCTGGTTCCCTGCATACTGATGTCTTGTGGTCTTCCTAAAAGACCACTGTTATCATTCTTTCCTCTTGCTGGAAAACAGATAAGAGCTCCTACTACCTATTTGACTCAATGCAAATCAGCACACTTACTTTCAAGGACACGAAAAATATTGGCCCAAAGCACCTGATGGACAATATTGCCCCTATTTTCCTGTATAAATCCCTTCTTCCAGTCTCCTTGCTAACCATGGACATGCAGGCTAATACCTGCCCTGGGCATCCATACCTATGTTCTTTTTTCCCACCCTGAAATGTCTTCATCCTCTCTCTGCAGCTCTATCTACCTCCTTCAAATTTATTTACTACCTAAGACAGGAAAGAGGAAAAGGATGAGCACCAAGGTAACCAGAAGGACATTCCCTGTTGCCATAAATAAAATAACAGAGAAAGGCTGGATACAACTGAGACGTCACCAAAATGATCTTATAGGTTTATACTTATAAAATGAAGTTTATAATTTAATCGTATGAGAAAAAAGCAATCTACATAAAATTATAAAAGTATGATCTTATTTTCATAAAGATAAATGTATGTGTTGTGTACATGTACAAAAAATCTGGATCCATAAATAAAATGTTATTGCAAGGTAAAATTAACAATAAACTTTTCTTCTTTTGGCTTTGTATTGGATTTATCATTTATATGTGATGCATTATTTTTACAAAAAAAAGGAAAATACAAGTTTTAAAGGACAGAGTGGTAACAGGAAAATTGTATATTAAGGGTTAACTTGGTATCTAACTTTTAAAATCTGAACAAAATCTAAGGAGTAAAAATGACAGCCCACCTTCGTTCTGAATCAAAACAAAATGGCCACCTTTCCCCTGACAGGAAGTTTTAAGTCCATGGGGCTCAGACATAAAGAGAACCACTTTTACACCAGAAAATAAGCCGCAACTGAGATGATTAGCACCACCAAGAATGTGCTTCTGGCACGAGCCAATTAAAGACACAAAGAGACCAGCTCCAAGGTGTTAGCAGCTAAAATTAGTAGCTCCAGATTTATTCCAAATCGAGTTTAAATAGTTTGGTTTGCTTTGTGCAGTTATCCTTAATAGAAAAATAAAAGCAGACAGGAAATACGCTTTAAGCTCCATCAAAGTGGAGTCCACGCCCTGGTTGCTGAAGGATGTATCTTCACCGCCTATGGAGGGTCCGGCATACCCTAGGTACTTAATTATTACTTGTGGAACAACTGAGCAAATGAATTTACCTCAAAGAAGTAAGAAGAAGGTATGTGAATATTAATTTTTGATATTTATTGCCAAATGTTCTGCAAAAGTCTTGGAACCAATTATCAATCTCACCAATATTGTAGGAATGTTAGTTTCCTCAAATTTTTTCTCATCAAATAGCAAAAGACTGGATCTCATTCTTTAGCTGTTTAATAAATTTACATTTCTTTGATTATGAGTGAGGATGAAAAGCTTTTTGTATATTTATGGTCATTTGTATTTTGTGTGTGTGTGAATTGCCTGTTCAATTATTTAGTGGTTTCCTCAGAAAGCACAATCTCAAAAGGTGGGTGAAGTTATATGTGGTTCCTTCATTGTCATCTTTCCCGTGACACTCAAGAAACACATCAGAACTCAAGAAAGAGAAGCGGTACTATGACAGGAATAACCCGGAATCTGCTCTAATTCACTATTTTGGTAAAACTAAAGAATACGCACTATTGGTTCTTAATTAGCAATAAATTTGTAGTGACACACTTCTAAAGTGATCATAATCTTCCATCTGGATTATTTAAAAAAATAAACTGTATTATCTAAGATTGTACCAACGACACATAACTTCCTAGTTTTAAATAATTCTTCAAGATTGCAAATCTGTTTTCAAATATCACTTTTATCTCATACTTAAAAAGGCATAATAGTTTTGTTAATGGGCCCTAGTGCCACAGTGGTTAAGTGCTCGATTGCTAACCAAAAGGTCAGCGGTTTAAACCCACCAGCTGCTCCACAGGAGAAAGATGTGGCCATCTGCTTCCATGAAGACTACAGCCTTGGAAACCCTGTTGGGCGGTTCTACTCTGTCCTATAGGGTCGCTATGAGTTGGAATCCACTTAGTGGCAACAGGTTTACTAGTTTTGTTTAGATATATGAATTAATTAAATTTAGAAATATACAATTTCAGTTGTCATAATTAGGCTAACTTAAGTTTGGGAAAAACGAATTGAAAGCCAATATTAATCACTAAAATATTTCAAAACAATGGTTGCCTTCGAGGTAAAATTATAAGGACAAAAATGTATTCTCAACAATACGTTAAATATTAGATAAATAGCTCGGGTATAGGGCAGAGTAATGCATTTAAAAGCAGAAAGGGCATCTATGCAATGGTAGAATCTTTAAAGATTAAAAATAGACTTTCTAACATATTTCATAAAAACTTATGAACCCATGCATTAATATACAACTGCAATTGAAATACCAGTGGGACAAATTCTCAATGTTACAACTCCAGGTTGAACAAAATGCCCCATGAACTTGTAAACTTACATGTATTAAAAACTAAGGTGTCTTACCTCTGTGGCCAAGCTCTGGCTGGCACCATTGTCAAGAAGAAACTTGACAACTTCCAGGTGGTTTTCCTGGGCTGCCATATACAGTGGAGTGAAACCATTCTGCAAATTAAGAAACAAAGTGTTTGTCTGCAGCTTTCTAAAACCAGCCTATTTTTCTGTTGTACTGATGATATTATACATTCCCAGAAATGCTCACATATAATTTTAATAATACTTTAATGTGGATATTCATATTTATTAGAAAACCTCAGCACCATAGTTTAAGCATAATTCATAATTAAAACTTAATTTACAATGACATTTCATAATTTATAGTTTAAGTGTAGTTCATAATTAATAGTTAAAGTGTAATGCAGACAAATATATCCATTTTAGATAAGTAAGTACATTCATTTAATCATCAACCATTTATTGAGAACCTACCATTAGTCAAGGACTATACTAGATGCTATGGGGGGAAATAAAGAATACATTTGATCATCATAGCTCCCAAGTACTAATTATGTATTTTAAATAAAAAATGTAGTATTTTCACATAAAATTAAGCATCTGAAATAGTTCCTGCTTTGGAAAAAAAAGATACTAATTTCAAATAGCTTCAAACTTACCACAGATGAGGTCACTTAGAGCAAAAGCAGGAACACCAATTTCCAGGATGGGATAATTCAAATTCAAAGTAGAGTCCAGTTAGACCAATATGTTTGTTGTTGGTCCTTGAACTTTTTGCAAAAGTATAGTATTTTTATGTTCAGAATATCTATATCTATCCATCTATCCATCCATCCATCCACAGTGTGAGTGTGCACACACTTGTATAAAATGTTCCCACACTGTCAAAGAGCTTGAATTCAAGCAAACGAAGGTGCACATTACATCTTCACTTTCTTATTAAAAATATATTCCAAATGTATGTTTATTCTCTAGAACAATGTATGTTACACTAGATTGAGATTCAATATTGTGTGAGAAAAAATCAATTTAGTGATGTGGGGCATGATCAGCATTTTACAAAAAAATCAAAGAGTACAGAATTGAACAAAAAATATCAGATCTGGAGGGCACTGTGCTAAGGGAAATAAGTCAATCACAAAATGACAAATATTGTATGAGACCACTACTATGAAAACTCAGCAAAATGTTTACACACAAAAACAATCTTTGATGGTTACAGGGAGGGGAGGGGTAGGGGTGGAAAAACACTAAATAGATCATAGATAAGTGGTAGTGTTGGTGAAGGGTAAGACAGTACACAATACTGGGCAAGCCAGCACAACTTGTTCAGGGTAAGGTCATGGAAGCTCCACGGACAAATCCAAACTCCCTTAGGGACCGAACTGCTGGGCTGAGGGCTATGGGGACCATGATCTCAGGAAACATCTAGCTCAATTGGCATAACATAGTTTATAAAGAAAATGTTCTACATTCTACTTTGGTGAGTAGCATCTAGAGTCTTAAAAGCCTGTGAGTGGCCATCTAACATACTCCACTAGTCTCAAAGGACTAATGGACCACAACTACCATGGCCTCCACCAGACAGAGTCCAGTACAACTAGATGGTGCCCAGCTATCACCACTGACGGCTCTGACCGGGATCACAATAGAGGGTCCTGGACAGAGCTGGAGAAAGATGTAGAACAAAATTCTAACTCATAAAAAGACCAGACTTACTCGTCTGACAGAGACTGGAGACACCCTGAAAGTATGGCCCCTGAACACCCTTTTAGCTCAGTAATGAAGTCACTCCAGAGGTTCACCTTTTAGCCAAAGATTAGACAGACTCATAGGACAAAATGAGACTAAAGGAGTACACCAGCCCACGGGCAAGGACTAGAAGCCAGGAGGGGACAGGAAAGCTGGTACTAGGGAACCCAAGGTCAAGAAGGGAGAGAGTACTGACATGTCATGAGGTTGTTAACCAATGTCATAAAACAATACATGTACGGTTTAATGAGAAGCTGGTTTGTTCTGTAAACCTTCATCTAAAGTATAATTAAAACAAAAAAAATCAGATGGCATCACATGTAGCAAGGCTGTTTTTCACTTTTATTTTAAAAACATACAAATGAATATGCATATGTGTGTGTATATACTTGATTTTAATCAATAAAGATTTAAAAAACACAGTGTAGGTAAATTATTTTTAATTAATTAATAAGACATTAAATTATACTTTCAGGAATTAAACATATGCTGACAGCTGACTACAGTATAGAGCTGACTTAACATCAGACACTATCTTTTTCTCACCTACTGCGTATTACAAAGCATTGCAAGATTGTAGTTGATGATGATTAAGGAGAAATGAAAGTATAACACAAAATATTATTTCTCAGTAGTCTATGGATTACATGTAGAATTATATTTTGCTACAAATCCATGCTGAGAAAAAAAGCACACCACTGTTTTTATATTAATTTCCTAATTTAGGAAATTTCCAAATCAAAGAGTTGGCCAGAGGGAACATATGGGTGCCCAATTTACATTTTCTTTTCTGTAGCAACAATAGACTCAATTCTCAAAAGGCAGAACAGCTCATGATACAGCAAGTATGCTATTTGATGTCTGATTTTATCCAATATCTTCAATACCTTCTGCTCCAAGCATTTATACTGATGTTATCATAAGCAGACAATCTGCAGACTTATAATTTTGTAGACAATAGTGAGGCATGCTACATCATAACCCCCTAACAAAAAATAAAAGTCCATTTGTGATTTCATTTAATCATATTTATCTGTGAATGTCTAGCTTCCTATAGCCAGCCTTCGTACATTTAAAGTGCTGCCCTTAATTAGATATTAAAAGCTTGGTGATGGGTTTGCACTGATTCATATATGATACTGATTTTTTAGAAGATCCATTAGAATTAAGGTGTGATAGAAGGTCACAGGTCAGACAGACTCTATCCAGATCATACCCATCGGTTTGACTTCAACAGGACCTAACTTCCCCACCATAGGAGTGGGGAATGAAGAGTTGCTACTGGGAATCATCAGGGGAACTCCATTCTGCTGCCTGGTCATCTCATTACTTATTCTGTCCACGGAACGATGCAGTTCAGAAGGCATATGAGGGCAAGTCTCAGATGAAGGGGGAACGCTTTGCTGTGCACTGTGTGTGTGGCCTGCATTTCAAGCCCAGCTGTAAGTAACAGGGAATTTCACAGCTTATGTTCTTCTTCCTCATTTCATCATCAGTGTGGAATGTATATAAATTGAAACAGAAATTGGTTAGGATTTTATCTCAAATGTAGCTTCTTCTAAATATTGCAGGGAAGATTTAAAACCATGGCTTCTGTAAGCATTAGTCAAGAATATGTGCCAACTTTAAAAGAGAAAGTTTATTCTTCCTCCCTTGGGGGTGGGGGGAAGAATTGAATAGTTTTCCCAATAGATCTTAGAACCTGTCTATTTCCCAATAAAATATTATAGGGGCACTTATTAAAAATCAGTTTAAAAGTATGATGCTTCTATTGTAGTTAGCTGGTCTGAACCTCTCTTAAAGCATTATACTTGGCCATAATCAACTTTATATCATTCGTTACTGGTATCATTATCATCCCAAGTGAATGCTAATAGGAAATCAGAATAACTGACATAGACCATGTAACAAAGTTACAGTTGCTGGGAAATAGAATGAAATTAGAGCAAATATACAACAAAGCCTGTAGTTGGAAGCACTGTGCAGTTCCCTTTCCATGACACTGGTACTTAATTTTAAGGGCCCTAGAGGTAGCATTGCCATGGCTGCAGTAGAAGTAGGAGGAAATCACTGGAGTTCTGCGGATCCATAAAAAACAGGAGGCTCATGGTATCTAAAGATAATCAGTACGAACAAGGCCAACGAAACCCAGTGCACTTAAAATGGTTATAAAAAGGCCATAGTGAATAATGATAAAAGCTTGATTGAGGCCTTATCTTGAAAGATAAAATGAGAAACTGTGACTATAAATTTATATAATTTAACAAAATGTAGGTTATAACCAAAGGCGCCCTGGTGGCACAATGGTTAAGCATTCGGCTGCTAGCCAAAAGGTTAGGGGTTCGAACTCACCGGCCGCTCTGCCAGAGAAAGATGTGGCCTCCACAAAGATTTCAGCATAGGAAACCCTACGGGGCAGTTCTACTCTGTCCTATAGTGTCGTTATGAGTCGGAATTGATGGCAATGAGTTATGGGGTTAGGTTATAACTATATTCATGTATTCATTTCCAGAATGAACAAAGACTAAACCAAACCAAGTGTGCTTTTTTTTTTTTAATATTTTATTGTACTTCAGGTGAAGGCTTACAGAACAGATAGTTTCTCATGTAACAGTAACACACATGCTGTTTTATGACATTGGTTAAC